TTCTTTATTTACAGAAGAAAAAAAAAGGGAAGGTTGTATAATTATCTAAAATGTTTTGTATAAAAAAATTGTTTACATTCATTTTTATCGGCCACACGCCGATTAATAAAAAAAAAAAAAAGAATCAGTCAGTCTGTCCAACTGTTGAGGTTTTATTCGCATATGTCATCCCTTTTGATTTTTTTTTCGTCCTTTGTAAAAAAAAAATATTTAAAATGAATTATTTTAATAATTTTTTTTTAGTCATTCACGAGCACACGCAAATCGAAATAAAGGGATTTTTTCGGGGGAGGGGAGGTGGAGGAGAAGGTGACGATAGGGGGAAAGGGAGGTTTAAGGGCAATAGGCAATAATCATCTTATTTTTATGCATTAACGTATTTCGAATTTTTTTTTTTTTGTGAAAAAAGGAAAAAATCGAATAAAAAAAAAATTTTCGAAATTGCTTCTCGTTTAAAAAAAAAAAAAAACTTTTCTCCCCATCGTCTCCCCACTCTCACAATTTTAAAACACGGGGGGGAGGGGAGGGAGTAAGGAAAAAATTTCTTTCTTTGACACCATTTTGAATAATTTTTTTTTGTGATGGTGGTGATGGAGGTGGGAAACCGATTGGATAAGGTAATAATTATGCTGTATAATAATATTAAATATTCCAGTATTCTAGAATTCCAGCTTTCTTCCTGTAGTACGTGTTCCAAACTTACAATGGAAGAATCAAAAAAAAAAAAAAAAAAAAAAAATTATTTGCCTCGACCTGGACTTTGACGACCTTCATCTTTGTTACCATGACAACGAAAATACCCTCTTTCTCTTTTTTTCTCTCTCTCCTTTTCTTTCCTTCTTTCTCTCTCTCTCTCTTTTTCTATCTCGATGGATGGTTAAGTTTTAGCTGGACAACGAATAATATAAGATTATCTGGTGATTTTTTTTTCTTTCCTTTCCTTTCCTTACCCAACGATTTTCATCATTCTATATATTATTATTATTATTCTTTTTTTTTCATCTTCGTATCGGGTATTCATTCGTTCGTTTTTTTTTTCATTTAATTTTTCACGTTTACGACGCGTTCATCTCTTCACGATTTCCCTTAACGAACCTTCCCTCTATCCCACCCCCCCGTCGCGTTTTCCTCCCGTCCTTTTATAACCCGAAATCATTTTAAAAATCCATAAATTTTCCATCTTGTATAAATTCTTGATTAAAAGGGTGGAGAAATTTAAGATAATTGAAGAAGTGTCTTTTATAGTGTGTGTAATGCATTGAACGTGTCATTAGAAATTTACGCATTAACTCAATTTACGATTTCATATCTTCAAAAAGGGAAAAGTTATGCAATTGGTGAATGTAAAAAAAAAAAAAAAAAAAAAAAAAAAAAAAATTAAATGGGCAATTTACTTACTTACTTTAAAATTGCTTTTACGTATTTTCTTTTTTTTTCGCGAAAGGGGAAAAACAAAAACACGCGTGCACGCGCACTCACGCACTCACGCAAGCACGCACGCATGCACGCACGCACGGGTAAAAAAAAAAAAAAAAAAAAAAAACAAAAAATTACAACATTTAACAGATGGATTTTTTTTTTTTATCGGGTTTATTTTACTCGTATTACTTTCTTCGTGATACAAATTTTCTATTTGATTAAACAATTGTGCGAGAGGGATGATTCAAAAATAATAATGATATCATCCCTTTAAAACGAAAGGGAGGGGTAAAAAAAAGAAAAGAAAATTCGATTCTCTTCGTTTTACAATTTTCCAAAATAAGAAAATTCACGTTAACGCAAAATTCACACGTTTACACAAAATAATAATAATAATTATTATGTCATCTTTTTCGTCTCATCTATCGTGCAAAAAGAATGAAAGAATGATTGACTGACTGACTGATTCATTTTATTTTTAAAAAAAAATGAAAATATGATGCGTTTTTTTTTTAAAAAAGAAAAATATGAGTAAGGAGCAATATGTTTTATCATGTTTGTTGTTTTCACCCCTTAGTTTTTGTCATGGCCGACTGAACACCCATGATGCCACTCATGTATGATTATTTTTTAAGTGAATTAAACGTAAGAGCAATGCAAACGCCTCTCGATGATATTATGTCATCGTTAAATCATTTGTCCTAATAATTAAATGGCATCGAGAGAGAGAGAGAGAGAGAAGAAAAAGACGTCTGCTTCGGATCGATCCGAACGCATCAATGTAAGTTTAAATGATAGATATGATTTCGCGACGCGTTTCGTCACGAACGTTGTGTATTTAAGGGAGGGGAGGCGAGGGGAGGAGAGGAAACGCGCGCGAGATGTGAAACCCGTTCGAAAACTGGGATTATTTATTCGAATCCCGTTTTTAGACGCCGAATAAGAGATATGATGAATCTATACCGTTTGCAAAGACGGAAAATTGCAAAGGAGAAAAGAATCGAGTCACGTTACTTTACTCCCTTTTCATTTTCATAGGATGGTGGTGGCCGAGGGTGATTTTACTGGTCCCAGGTGGCAGGAGCTCCCCCGAAGGGGTTTGCAATTCTCGATGGGGTGAATTTTAGATCATCGCGCACACACAAAAAAAGCTCCCATTCATCCGAACGCCGTTCGTACGAATCGATTCATATGAATCACACTTTCTATAGTTTTTTCTTCTAGTTCCCCCACCCCTCCCTCCCCTTCGTTATTATTATTATTATCAACGTTTCCAGCTTTGCACTTTTCGATCGCGCACAAAAAAAAAAATTTTTTTTAAGATAAAAATGAATGAGATGAAAATAAAAAATAAAAAACCGGAAGTTGTCACCATCGTTTAACTAACGTTGGGGTTTTCACGTTACCACAAACCTCCTCCTCCCCTCCCCTTTCCTTCACCCGAAAATGTTGAATGACAAATTACGTAAATGGCAAAATTCGGTTAGAAAAATTTGTAAAAATTTTACGGACCTGACACATTTATTGCATCCCCTTTGAATTTCACGTTGTTTACTTTTAGGTTCGATTTTTTTTTTTTTTTTTATGTTGACACGTCGTCGCATCCTCCCGACATTATTTTAACATTTCTTAAAACTGACAACCCAAAAACAAACAAACAAACAAACGAAAATATTCAAGGTTCGCATCGACGACAAGATTTCCATTTACAATCTGGAGAAAGAAAAAAAAGCAGAAGACAAATCGGAAGGACAAAAAAGGAATTCCTGTTTAGTGATTTTTTACCCTATTAAATTGTATAATAGGTTTTTGATCCACCCTCTTCAAGACCAAAGAAAACCCAAATTAATTTGACACCCCATGGACATGAAGGGGCGCGTACGAGGTGTGATTCCTACAATTTTTTTTTTTATCGTCGTGCACATAACGTTTCGTTATTTTATTCTTTTTCTAATGCCACTTTTTCATTTTAAAAGAAAATTCGCATCGTTAATTTTTTTTTAACGTTTTTTAACTCTCGTAATTATTAATAATAAATTTTTTTTTTGTTTGTTTGTTTGTTGGAGGGAAAAGGAAAACGGACATGTGGTACGTGAGCTTAATTCTGTTATTCTATTGCCACGTGCTTGCATTTAGCCTCGTTTTTTTTTTTTTAATTTTTTCTTACTCGTGCAAAGAGAAAAAAATATTAAATTAAATTGATTTCATTTTTTAATATTTTAATTAATTAAATTTTTTAAAATAAATAAATAAATAAATTTTTTGCATGTGTTCCGCCATGTTTGTTTGTGAAAATGTAAAAATTACAATCATCCATTGTTCGAAATGTAATTATTAATAATAATAATAATAATAATTTCAATCGATAAACGTATGAGTTTCTAGTGGTTTTTTTTTTACCCCAAAATCAAAAACTTCATCCCTTTTTCCTCCGCGATTCATCCCGCCCCCTCCTCACATTTACTCCCCCCGGAATAATAAGTAAACAAACAACGTTGTTCCTTGTAATTTCGTTTCGGTTTTGTTGTTTGTTTCTTTCGTTTGCCTTCAATTAAAAATATAGAGAAAGAGAGAGAGAGAGATAAAAAAGAAATCGGAAAATTAAAATAAGTCGAAATAAGTCATTATTTCGTAGACGGTCGCGGAAAAATGACCCAAAAGTAAATTAAAGGGATGCACGGAACAAACAATGGCACGTGACTCGATCACGTGACTCCGGCAATTACACAATTGTATTTTACTCAAAATATTTCAATTTTTCCTTTATATGTGTGTACACATACGCACATTATTATATTTTACGTAAATAAATGGATTTGTATGCGTGTGTGCGTGTGCGTGTATGCGTGTAAGTACGTCTGCCTACGCAGTACATCAGCGATTGATTTCGGATTGTTTGTTTGTCGATGAATCGTTTGTAAGTTAGAAAAGTTTTGCGTGTGCCGACATCGTCGCTTAATAAAATTTTTTCTTTTTTTTTCGCGTTTTTAAAAACCTTTTTGTTTGATTGAAAAATAAATTTTTGAGGGGATAAAAGGGGGAAGGGGGTGGATTCCAAATAAGAAAAGTGAAATTTTCAAATCTCTCTTTTTTCTTTTTATCATTGCAACCGAGAAAAAATTAAAAAAAAAAAAAAAACCGTCGGCCATTAATAGATAATTTAAAATCTATTGTTTGTCACTTTTTTTTCTTCAACCATTTTTCCTCCTTCCCGTTTTTCTTTTCTTTTTCGCTTTTAAAATAAGTAATCCATTACTGTGGATTTTAAATCTCTCTCTCTCTCTCTCTCACTCTCATTTTTTATTGTTTTTCTTTTTTCTTACCTAATCTTTCTCTTCCCCCCACCCTTAAAACAAAAAAAAATCTCGCCATACATCTTCCTTTGTTATAATAATAAAAAAAAACCAAAAAATTGATAGGATTGTTTTCGTCGGCTTATAACTAAAACAATTTCATATTGATGTTGGGGAAAAAAAAATAGAATTTTAGTCGTTAGTTTAGTTTTTCCGGCCATTTTTTTTTTAAATAAACCCTTTAAAAAAAGAAAGAAGAAGAAGAAGAGGAAAAGTAAATAAACTTACCTATCAATTATAACTGGATCTGATGGGGTTTCGTTTCTGTTTCCACAGCTTTTTTTATCACAACATCGACTGGAAAAAAAATAAAAATTAAAAATTAAAATCGTCACGATAAACTTTTACAGTGTGTCCAAAACAAAAAAAAAAATTTCCCCCCGTTTTTTTTTGTTCAGTTAAAAAAAAAAAAAAATAAATAAAAAAATAAAGAAATAATTTTTTAAAATGGAAATAAACGTTAAGTATGACGGTTTTGGAAAAAAAAAAAAAAAACGTTACGATTTTTCTTAAGAGAAAAATATCATCCCCTAGGCTAAACAAAACTAAGCAAGCATTGAGAGGAACTTGGGGGTGATTCTCTGGGGAGTCTGGATGCGTTATGATGCCATCCCTTCGAAACCATCCACGGTTAAACTACCTAAAGAAACTAAACTTGAGTCATGTGATTTTTTTCTTATATATACGTGCGTACTATTTTTTTTTTTTTTTTAACATTCTCAGTTTACACATTTTTATATCCTCCCCTTCATCGATTTTTTTTCATCATCATCATCATTATTATCATCTTCTTCTTCTTCTTCTTCTACGTTCTTTTCTTTTTGTTACCACTCACAAAACCTAATAGCTTTTTCTCTTACGGTTGTCAACAGTAATTTTTTTTTTTGCAGTTTTGCATTTTATTTTTTACCGGTCAAAAACTCACAAACCGAATCGATGACGTAATAAATAAAAAAAATTTAACGTGGCACTAGAAGTAAAAAATAATTTTAAGAATTACCTGCACATAACTTCATGCGTCAACAGGACTCTGCACATTTCAGGATTTTTGTCTTGTCCTTCGTACATAATAGCCTGAAAAAAAAAACAAAAAAAAAATATTACAACCCTGTTTATCATTATTATTATCATTGTAAATAATCATTAAAAATAATAATAATAATAATTAATTTTATTTAAAAAAAACCTGACAGGTTTTTGTCGCGTGTTATTAATTTTATTATTATTATTATTATTTTAAAAACATCAATGACTTTAATTTTTTATTTTTTTACTCAAAATAAAAAAAAAGAGGGGGGAGAGACTTCCCCCCTTTTTTTTGACTGAACCCAAGTGACATTATGTAAATTAAATTATCCCATAAAAAGAAGGAGAAGGAAAAAAAAGAAATTTTTTTTTTTTCTGAATTTTGATGAGATTTTTTTTTATTTTATTTTCGAAACCGTCTTCCGCCATTAAAAAAAACAAAAATAAATTTTTTTTTTCTCTTTACTTCTTTTTCTATTTATAATTTTATAGTTAGTTATAGATGATATCGATGTTTAATTGTGACGTAATTCAGACTAATAGTCTAATTACACTTTAAAAAAAAAATCACAACGATCGTAACGCCGTTGAATGCCATTTGAAAAAGAAAAATAATGATAATAGAAATGATAATAATAATAATAATCGATGGAAAATTCAAATTAAAAAAAAAAGGAGAAGATTAAAAAAATAATTTTTGTTGTTGTTGTTTTTCTAATTAGTTGAAATAGGTCTTTTAATTTAAAAAAAAGTGTGACTTTTCTTTTTCCAACCCCCTCCACCCTCTTCTGTATTTCATATCTTCAACTTCTCTCTCTCTTTTTTTTCTTTTGTTCTTTTTATCAATGATAAAAACAAATTTTTGGGGCGTTTTTGGGGGGTTGGAAAATATTGCGGCGCGGATTGTATATGAAACGAGTTTTTTTTTTTTTACTCGAAAGGGAAAAATAAAAGTGTTTCGAAAGGGTTTAAAAATGCTAGCACGTGACCTTTTATTTCATTCCTTTTTATGACGAAGGAAATGAATAAGGTGGGTGAGGAAAAAGCAGAAGAGAGTTTAAAAAAAAAAAACCTGAGAAGGGGAAAGAGAGAGAGAGGAGAGAGAAAAAAAAAGAAAGAAAAAAAAAATTATTTCGAAATAATTTTAAAAAAAAAAAAAAAATTTCCCGCGTATTTTTTTAAAGTTCTTGATGACGTAATCGCCACCAAAAGGAGGTCGGTACCTGAACGTACACCAACCATTAATCGCACTTTTTTTTTAATGGCGTTATGGAAAATTTTTAGAAAAACTTGACGAAATTCACACAACTCACGAGGTTATTGATAACATATTTAAATTTTACGTTATCACAAATTTAATTATGATATCGTAAAATTTATTAAAATCAATAACTTAATTTATAACAATAATAATAATAATTTTAATGAAAGAAGAACGAAAAAAAAGTAATAATAACATCGAACGAAAAAAAAGGGATTAAAAAAAAAATGAAACCGTTTCATGAATGTTTACTGCCATTTTGTATTATTATTATTATTATTATCATCATCATCATCATCATCATTATTATTATTATTATTATTATTATTATTATCATCATCATCATCATCATTATTATTATTATTTTTAATTTCGAGGAAACAAAAAGAAAAAAAAAAAAAAAAAGAAAAAAATCAAAAAATGAAACTGACATTTTTATTTTATATTAACATTTTTTTTTTTTTACAAAAGAATTTTTTAAATGGGTAAAAAAAATGAGAAAGAAAGAGAGAGTGAGAGGGGGGAGGAAAAAAAGGGAGAAAAAAGTGGGAAGGGGAGAGAGAGAGAGAGAGTGGGAAGAGGGGGGAGGAAAAAAAACTAACGTAAGTTGAATTGGATTTTAAACGTACTCTTGCAAAATCATAAATTTAAAAAAAAATAATAATAATAATAGTTTTACATAATTAAACAATTAAAAAAAAATAATAATAATAATAATAATGATGATGATGATAACGATGATGATAATAATAATACACGGGTAGACCGTGACCCGAGTTGTAAAAAAAAAAAAAAAATGTAAAAACAATTTTGAACCCTCCTATTTTTTTTTTTTTTTTCTATTAGCAAGTTTCTAGCCAAAGTCGGGTGGAAAAATAATAATAATAATAACAAAGCTGGTATTTACTATTAAATCCATTTCAATTTACCATTAGGATTCCGGGGATGTGCACACACACACACACACACACACACACACTCACGCACGCAAAAAGTAACGTATATATTATATACATACTGGGAGGCTATTAGCAATAGGGGTTGAAAAAAAAAAATCCTCACTAAATACCAGGCTTAACTTTTGCGTAGTCAACGATGTGGACAAAATAACGGACTAACGGGATTCTTTTCTCTCTTTTTCTCTCTCTCTCTCTCTCTTTCTCTCTCCGAGTTTAGATCTCCTATTCATTTTCTCTTGATATTTTCATTGGATTTGTTTTTTTTTTTCACTTTCACTTTCAATCTTAAACCTCTAAACGAATGAGAAAAAGGAAAAAAAAAGGAGAGAAAGTGAGAATAAGAGCGAGAGAGAGAAAAAATTAAAGTTTAACACGAGATTGAAATGTATGTAAATAATTTTTTTTGTATTTAAACTTTTCATTTTCTCTCTCTCTCTCTTTCTCTCACTCTCTCTCTCTTTCTCACTTTTATTTTATTCTCTCAGCTTAATTTCACTTATTTAAATAAAATAAATAAGAAAAAAAATTTTTTTTTTTACCTTTTTTTTCCCACTCGCTTTTATTTTCTCTCTCTCTTTTTTTTTGTCTTTAAGAAAAAGTAAAAAAAAAAGTTAAACAATAAAAAAATATAAAACAATACAAATAAATGAAAAAAAGAAAAAAAAAGTAAAGAAGAAGGAAAGAAGAGGAAAGAAAAAAATTAAATTTTTTTTTTTTTGTTAAATCAATAAAAACAAAAACAATTTTCCAGTTTTTGATGTTTTACATGTTTGCCAACAGAAAAATTTATACCGATGTCGGTTAAATAATAAAATACGATTTATTATTATTATTATTATTATGATCATAGGTATCGTTATTATAAATAATAAGGAAAATAAATTACAAGTGGAAAGAAAAAGTGAAAGTGAACATGGGGCAGAGAGGCGGGGGGCGGGAAGGAAGAGGAGGAGAAAAAAAACGTAAGAAAAAGAAAAATGGCGAATAGCACAACAAATTTTAAGAAAGTTTTCGTTTTTGTTTTTGTTTTAGTATTCGAAAGATTAAATATATATATTTTTTGGTAGTAGGAAAAGAAAATAGTACAAATGTTAGGTATAAAAAAAAAAAAGAAAAACTCGTTTGTTCCGGTCAGTCTTGAGCTTTTTTGTTCCCATGGGTAAAAACCGGGAGATCAAGAAAGAGGACAAGCCTAATCTCGTACGGTGATTTAAAAGCCCATGAATATACATAGACGGAACTTTCAATGGTCCTTCGGGAATATATCGGAATAAATCAAAGCTGAAGATTACGGAGAGTTTCTATAGTAAAAAAAAAAAAAAAACAAAGTTTTTCGGGAGAAAAATTTTCAACCGAAAAAAAATTACTACGAAAACTAACAACGAAACAAAAAACATAACGAAAACATCATCATTATTATTATCATTTCCTGTAAGGGTAAAACGAGACGATAGACGTTAAAAAACCTTTTTTTAACTCTTTCACGCAACAAACAATCAAAATTTCAACGATGATTCTCCTACGACGACGCCATTTTGATTTTAAAAAAATAAATAAAATAAATCCCTCCCCCCTCCCGATTGGTTGATTGTTGAAACTCTTATAAAAACTCTTGTTTTTGTTTTTATGGAGAAAAAAATCAAACATTGACATTGACATTTGTTTAACTCCCCGTTATTATCATCATCATCACCGGGAAACCATTAAACCAAAAATAAAAATTCAATATTGAAAAAATTTTTTTCCCCCGACCCCACACCTCTCCCTCCCCCGTTGTCGTTACGTTAACTCGTGTGTGTGTGTGTTTGTGTGTTTGTTAGAACATTCTAGAATTTTGTCTCGCGTCGTTTCACTAAATTTTCCACACGTTTATATACCAAAACTAATTATTCATTTACTAAAAAAAAATTAAAAAAAATTTTTTTTTTAAATGTCAAATTTTTTTTTTTTTTTGGTTTGTTCGTTTATCAATACGCGTCATTTTTGCGGGTTTGATAATAATAATAATAATAATAATAATAATAATAATAAATTTTTACGTCGTGACATTTGAATTTGAGTCGCGCAAAACGCTGACAAAAAACTAAAATAATTTTATTTCGATTTACGTTTTATATATACAACGTCAATTTTTTTTATACCCTTTCCCTTTAAATCGTTCGATATATCGATTAATTGAATTTAAAAAATCGATCGAGATATTTTTTTTTTTAAAACAATTTTACCCGCGTTTTTCCTCTCGTTCCCCGCTTTTGAATTTAAAGGGCAAATTTTTAAAAAAAAAAGAAAAAATCGACTGGAAAACTCGGATTAAAAAAAAATTATTTTGTCATACTAATGACGTCACTTCCGATCGAATTTAGATTTTTTTCCAAATACACGAATCAAGTTTTTTAAATGTTACAACAACAAAAAAAAATTTTTTTATTTAAATTAATTATTAATAAAATAAAAAAACCGGAAATAAATTTAACTTTAAAGTAAGAAAGAAAAAATAATAATAATAATAATAATAATAACGATGAAATGATGATGATGATGATGATGATGAAACGAAAAGGTTTTCCCGTTGAAATTTTTATTTATTATTAATTAGTCCGGGCGTTTCTTATTATTATTATTATTATTTTTATAGAGCTATAATTAATAAGAAAAACATCAGCATCATCATCATCATCAGTATTATTACGTTGTTGTTTAAAGTTTTTTTAAACTTTATTTTTAAAAATCAGAGAGAGAGAGATAGAGGGGGGAGGGGTGCAAAAGAAAAACGTCTGAACGGTTTAATAATAATAATGATACTGACGAACGTTGTTCGTTTTTGTCTATTTTTAATTTGCATTAAAATATTCTAATAATGAAACAGCGAGATATCGTTTGCGTTCGTGCGTGCGTGCGTGCATACATGTCGTGCATGTGTGCGTGTGTGCGCCTGTGTCTGTGTGTAAAGTGTGGTCAATTGGTAACGACCGATTTTAATTAAAATTCGAAATTGTATTTAACGAAGAATACGAGTAGAAAATTCTAATTAATTTTTTCTTTTTTTTTTTGCCCCCCCTCCCCCCTTCGCTCCCTCCCCCGAAAATTATTTTCTCAATTTTGAAATATAAAATTAGTTTTTTTATATAATAGTTTAAAAACTTTATAATAAATTATTATTTAATTGTTGTCAAAATTTGTTTAAACAAAAAAAATTTCTTTGACGACATTAAACATCGACGCCATTTTTATTTTTTTTCTAACATTTGATTAACACATTAAAAAAAAAAATTTTAACGCGAATCAAATGTTTATTTTAACAATATGATTTTTATTCTATGTCGTCGATGATAGAATTTTCTTCTGCTTTTCACTAAACGTATAGAAATTTCTAGAAAAAAACGTCATTCGATTTATTCGTTTGTTAATTTTTTTTTTTTTTTAATAATCTTTAACAATAAAATCTCCCATTTCGTTTAATTTTAACCAAATAATTTGATTCGAATTAAATAATAATAATAATAATAGTAATGATGATGATGATGATGATGATAATGATGATAATTTTTCCTTTAAAAAAAATAATCATGAAAGGGATAAATTTTTTTTTTAAACGTAAATCTTTTCATTCATTCATTCATTCAATAATTTTTATTTAATTTATCGATTAAATAAGTAATTCGATATTTAAATAATAATAATAATAATTTGATTAGAATTTTTTAAGCAACGAATAATAATAATAATAACGAAAGGATTTTATAAAATTTTTTTTTTTTTTTTTCGGCGGAAGTTACCGATTGGAAATATTTTCTAAAACTTTTTTTTTTTTTTGAATATGAATCGTTTCCATTCCTTTTTTTCTTTTCGTATAGACGATTGCCATTTTTTTTTTTTTTAAATTATAAATAACAAAAAAAAAAAATTTTTTTACCCTTCGTCCGTTTCCCGGATGTTCGGAAAATGGAAAAATCAAAAAAAAAAAATCCATCACCGTCCCGGAAAAGTAAATTTATTAATAATAACGATTCAACCCGATAATACTGGTAGTGGTGGGGATACTAACGAGTTATATTGAATCCCCCATTAATATTATTATTATTATTACTTACGGAGAAAGAAGAAAATTTTTTAATTTTTTATTATAAAGAAAAACTTTTAATTATTTGTTAATACGTCCATGTTTTCCATTTGATTGTATTGTTCAGAATGAAAAAAAAAAAAATTTGATCGTAAAAGTCGGTTCAAGTATTTGTTTAAGTTCAGAAACAAATGGATTCGTTGTAATTTAAATCCTTAAAAGAAAAAAACGTTGCTGATAATAAAAAATCGAACGTCAGACAATTCATACCTTAAACAAAAGGCTGGAGAAAAAAAAAAGAATGGTGGTGGGAGGAGGACGTATAGTGACATAAGCGTTGACAACGTCACCCATTTAAATAACATTGTGTAAATTTGAAGATTACCACACTCTCACAACTGTCAGACAAAACTTTGTAATCCTCAAAACTTCAAAGTGCAATTCGCTGATAGTAAATAAAAAAAAAAAAAAAAGTTCGCAGGACGTTCGGTTTACAAGAGTAAAAAAAAAAAATAAATAAATAAAAAAAAAAGTTTCGTACGTACGTAATCAGATGCGAACATGCGTTCAATATTGAATTTGGCATCGAATTTCCAAGTGCAATTACGTTCGTTTTAGCATGATTAATTTTTAATCATTTCATCTAATAAGAAGTTGGTGAAGGGGCGGGCGGGCGAACGGATGCACGCACGCACAAACACAATGTGAAGGATCCCGACCCTTTCTTTTCAAGGGCAATCTCATTCAATCTTCATCTCCGAACGTACGAACGGGTGTCGACTCGTCCGCGTGTCCGACACGCGTTTTCAAACTTCAATCCCATATTCTTTAATCCTGACATTATCGTGTTTATGTTTATCTTTCAATGGAAAACATTTATTCACTTGAATTAATCGTTTTTTTTTTTTTTCGGTGCCTGGAGAATGACCGCGAACGCTATAGGAAAATTTTTTTTTCCTTTTTTTAACCGGATGACGGGGGTTTTCTCATTAGATAAACAAGGTTTAAATCGTTTTCCGTTTCATATCAAAACATTTAATGGTTTTATCATTAAGCTAATCTTAATCCCGAGGATTTTATTCATTCATCTTACTTTGCCTTATCGATATATAATATATAATATATATAGTTATAAATATACGTATTTACACGACATTTTATATTTATTTATTTATTTATTTTTTTTTTTTTTTGTTTGTGATTCTTGAATGAAAGGGAAACGATTTAATTATTCAATCAATCCTTTCAAGTAATTTTTTTTATCGACCTTTGTGTCACCTCAAAACAAAAAGAAAACCATTTCCACGTTTCGCGACCTGCGAAGGTTATAATTGAACTTGAAAATGGAATCGTAACGAAACAGTTGGGGTTAAAAAAAAATTTAATGAAGAAAAATAAACAAACGAAAAACCATTCAAGACATTAATTTCGACTGGAAAGAAAAAAAAAAGATAAACAAAAATGAAAAATTCCATGATAATAAATCAATCCAATTCCGATCCTTTATAAAGATATAGAATTCAAGGGTAATTCTAATTTGATTCGCCTAATTTAATGAAAGTTTTCCACAGGTGATTATCCCTTTTTAAAAAAAAAAACAAAGTATAAGAATTCAACGAGTGTAAGAGAGAGAGAGAGAGAGAGAGGAGGGACGGGGTGGAAGGAAGAGGGAAAGAAATAAGAAAAAAAAATTTAATGCGATTAATTAAGGGGTTGCAAATTTTTTTTTTTTTTCAAAGTTAGCCAAACTTCCTATCCTATTCAAATTTTAAAATTTCCTTTCATCGAAAAACAAAAAGAACAAAGTTATGACTCAAAAGAGAGGATTTTCTTTCGGTAGGAGATTTTCCAGTTTTCCCCGAACCGACTGACGTGCTCCGATGAACACAACACGCGAGGATGATAACAAAAAAAAAAAAAATTATAGTTTGACAAAGCATAATATATACCGGATATATATTAAATTAATAAATTTGACAAAAAATATTTCCTTCCATGCATATACGAACGAGAGACAAACTCGAGAGTAAATAAAAAAAGAGAGAGAAAAAGAGAGAGAGAGAGAGAAAAAGAAAAGCGAGACGCAAAATCGCGTGTAAAAGATATGAATTACGATTAAAGTATACTTGAAAGCCTAATCAGCTAATGAACGTTTCGAAAGGGGGAGGAGGGGAAAGATTGAAGGAAGGGAGGGGCAGTAGTTTGGGGAGGGGCGGGAGGAAATTCAAATGAGTGAATATACCAGACGACGAAATGGAAAATCTTAACATTGGTTTCCCTTTAAATGTAATTATTCTTATTGGTTTAATTAATCCGGTGGAGAAAATTAACGGGGAAATTAAAATGATTTTCAAATCTGGACCTTAGGCGGTTATTCAACCGTATGCCTCCCCCCCGCTACTCCTTCTTCACTGGAATTAAATCCATCAGTAATATCATCCCATCATCATTTCATTCCATAACAAAAAAAATTCCAAAACGGACGCGGCGCGAAATGACGAAAAAAAAAAAATTTTTTTTGACTTACCTGTTTTGTGACAGAATCGATTAGCCTAACGTAAATATCTTGTTCCTGCCTCGCACCTGGAAAAAAACAAAAACAGAAAAAAACCTTTAATTCCCGAACCTGATGAATTTATTTCTGGAATGATTCCATGTTTTTATAAACAACAACAACAATAACGATTAAAAAACGATTATAATTAAATTGAATTAATGACTTATAGATTATTGAAAGCTTAACGTGGAATTATATTCAAATCCGATTTACAGAAAGAGAGAGAAAGAGAGAGAGAGAGAGTGAGAGAATGAGAAAGAGAGATAGAAAAATGGAAAATTCATTTTCACTTAACTTTAACATCATTTTTTCCAGTAACTTTTTTTTTTAATAAAAAACTTACCATTTGCGTATAAAAGTTGAAGCCTGTATTGAATTCCATTATTTGTTTTTTGACCTTCCGTTTCCTGTTCATAAAAAAAAAAAAACCGTTATTCAATCATTTTTGTTCATTTAATATTAATAAAAAAATTATTTGTTTAAATAAATAAATTATTTATTTATACCTGATCTTTTTCAATAAATCCTATAAAGGCAGTTCTTTCAATTTCTATTGGTTGACCGGCTCTATCGTACAAGGCAATAACAAAATGGAAAAAATTGGATTTTCTCAAATTGCTCGGTGGTTGTTTTTCAAAATGTGCTCTCCCAATACCAATACTAAAAACAAAAATAATTTATTATTATCATCATCATCATCATCATTATCATCACAATAATAAACCGCCTAAAAAAAAAATATTTAAACTCGTTATCGGATTTACAAAAAAAGAAAAAAAAATTTAATAAACTTTTACGAACGATGATGATAATAAAAAAAATAAAAATAATTAACAAATAATTAAAGCGTCGTAAATGGATTGAAATGACGTCACTTCCGGAAAACTCGTACGCATTATTTTTTTTTTAATCGTCATTAAACGTTTTTAAACGAGGAGGCAAAACAAAATTTTTTTTTTCCACCGTAGATTCGTGGTGGTGACATTTTTTGTTTTCCGACGTTTGCGCCATTTTTCGACGGGAAAATAGTAATAATAATAATAATGATAATAATTTGTTGACGATGAATTAGGACACCTTTTTAAAACTACCACCACCACTACTACTGCTACTAATTAAATATATTTAATTTTAAAGTTTGATTCGTTTTACAACACGTTGACGTAAACCTTAAATCAAGTTAACCGTTTTATCCTTTTCCTTCGGGCACCCCCCCGCCACCACCACCACCACCGCCACCCTCACCACCCCCTAATCGTCTCACTTTATCAAAACGATGTTCCTTTCTTTATTGTCATCATTTCCGTCTCGTCATTATTAACAACCACATCATTTCGCTGTCGGATGAATAACAACAACAACAAAATGTCGTCTGCTGCCCCTTTTTCGTTTCCGCCGAAAAAAAAAAAAAAAAATTTTATTTATTTTTTGTGTTACTCCGCAGTAAACTAATAAACATCTGTCACCGTCAGTCATTTTCCTTTTTTTTTTTTTTTTACCTTCTCGCAAACAAATTTATCGTTTCCAGAATTTTTATTATCATCATCATCATCATCATCATCATCATCATCATTATTATTATTATTATTATTATTATTCGAGGAAAAAAAAATTTTAAACGGAGAAAAACATAATTATTGTTTTGACTCGAAGATTTTTTGTTTGTAAAAAAGGTTAAAGGTCGATTTTAAAAACAACATTTTGCTTTTTTCCATTTTAAATAAACGACGTTTGATTTTTCTTTTTTTACACGTCGTGAAAATAGAAAAAAAAAGTAGAAAAATTGTCGTGGTATTTAATAACGGAATTTTTTTTTTTTTTTAAATATTTAAATATTATACATCAACCCTAAACAACAACAACAATAATAATAATGGTGAGAAGAATAAGAAGAAAAATAAGAAATTAAAACCTTTTTTTTTTGTTAAAGAAAAAGAAAAATGGCTGAAAAGGGGTTGTTTCAACTACCCCCAAAATTTTTTTACGGTTATTAATTCTTTTATTTAAAATTCATTGTTAAAATTTTTTATTTTTTAAAATGACTTTTCTTTTTTTTAAAAAAAAAAAAACTATTGATGAAATTATGACTTTGTTGATTTGGTCATCATATTCTTTAAAAGACACTTGTTGTGATGATGATGATTATTATTATTATTATTACGGTTGAGACAAACAAAAGAAAAAAGTAACAAACTTGTGGTTTTGTAAAAAAAAAAAAAGAATTTGACTCGCTTCCGTTATTTATTTGTTTTTCTTTTTGTTCGAATGAATAAAAATCCATTCATGACTTTTTTTTGCAAAAAAAAAAAATGACAAACGATTGTACGTCGACAAACGGTTGTACGTAGACAAACAGTTATTAAAAAAAAAAAAAAAAAAAAGTGTTTGTTTATTCGAAAACAAATTCATTAATAATTTTTATTTAAAGTTTTTTTTTTTTTTTTTAAATAGGTTTTAATATAAAGAGAGATAAATGGATTTAAACCGGAAATGCAATGGTAAAATCAAAAAGGAATAAAAACGTGATCGAGATTTAAAATCCGTTTAACGAAAAAAAAAAAAAAAAAAAGTTTTTCGCGATTGTACGAAACAACAAAATAAAAAAAAAAGGTCGGAAATGGAAGAGAGAGAGAGAGAGATAGAGACGAGTAGACAAGAAAAAAAAAAAAAGAAATCTAATTAGTTTTACCTTTGGGAAACACATGATTTCCGTGTTTTCCAGTGGTTTTCGCCACTTTTTAAAAAAAAAAAAAAGTCTTTCCGAAAAAAAAAACAAACAAACAAAAACGATCGAAATTCAATCTTTTTTTTTACTTTTTTTACTCTAAAATGTTTTTCTTCTGCTTTTTTTTTAGAATGTGCGTCATCATTGCCAATTACCGATAAAAAAAAAAAAAAAAAAAATTTCGGGATTTGGAGAAAAAAAAAAAAAAAAAATTGTACTAAAAACTTAGAAAAACAACAAACTGATCACTTTCATGATTGACACTTTTCTCTCTCTCTCTCTCTCTCTCTCTTTCTCTCTTTTCCCAAAGTCGATTTTTTTTCTTTTTTTTTTTATTTCATTGTTTTCATAGTTTAGTTTTCCCAAACGTTTTCTCTATCTCTCTCTTTTTCTTTTTCAATAAAAAAAAAAAAAAAACAAGAAGCTACTCCCTCATTACTCCCGTCTGTCTGTAAAAACGAACAAACAAAACAAAAAAATGTTTTTCTTTTTTTTCTTTCCAAGAACTTTACAAAAAATTTTTTCAACAAATCGTGAGAACGAAAAAAAAAAAATTTATGAAAAAAATTCCAAAAAAAAAAAAAAGAAAATGTCAGACCTTTTTATGAAAAAAAAAAAAAAATTTTTTTTATTAATTTTAACATTTGATTTTTTTTTTTTTTTTTACGTTTGTTTACCGGAAAAATAATTTTCGTTTACTGATACCACGACATTTTTATTTAATCGTCCCCGTATTTCTTTTTAAATCGTAAATAAATTTCGTACACGTGTAAGAAGAAGAAGAAGAAGAAAAGTAAGAATAATTATGATTTTTTTTTGTTCTTTTTTTCCGTAAACTATTTAAATGTGGATTTTATTTTTATTAAAAATATAATAATAATAATAACAATTCGCGTTACGTCATCATTATCATCGTGACAAAGATTTCAAACCACGTCGTTTTTTTTTTTTTTATAGAAAAAACAAAAATTGAATCGACGGTAAAGAATACAAAATTAGAATACGCCGTCGTCGTTTCGTCGTTTTTTTTTTTTTTTTTTTTTTTGTTTATTAAAAATAATCCGCGAATTTAAATTTACCCGCGCGCGCGTGTTTTTGAAAACTTTCGATAATTTTTTACTAATCTCTCTCTCTCTCTCTTTCTCTCTCTGTTAGAAAAAAAAAAAAAAGAAAAAGGAAATTTTCACTTGTATAATTTTTAAATTAAACAACCTTTTTACCGCGTTTTCAACCCGAAAATACAAGAAGAGTTCAACGATAAAAACATAATTAAATTAACTTTCGGACAGTGGAAGAAGAAAAAGAGAGAAAGAGAGAGAGAGAGAGAGAGAGAGAGACGGGGAATGGGGGGGGGGGAATAAAATAAAATAAAATAGAAAAAAAAAAAAAAAGCTTTCAATTTTCAAAGTCATTTTGTTGACGGGTTAAATTTTCATTGATTTTCATTGTCTGACATCGATAAAACGATTAAAACTCTCCTGGGACAATATATTCGTTACTAAATAAAAACACGAAAAAAAAACAAAATTTTCCTTTTTTTTTCCTTTTTTTTTAATTACACGAAACTGTTACATGTCTGACAGACTCGGTTTGCACACGCACACACGCACCCACACATGATAAAAAAATAATAATAAAATAAAATAAAAATTTTTTACGTTTTTTTTTTTTTTTAATTTGTTTGTTTACTTTTTTTACCAGTATGAAAAATAATCATTCATTCAACGAGAGTAAATATATCGTGTCAATAGATTCATGATCTCGTGTGAATGTATCGTAAAAAAAAAAAAAAAAACCTTATTTATTGCTTCGAGTAAACAATTGTGTTCGAATTATGTTTGTTTCAACTTTGTTTTGAATTATTAAATAATTCAATGCAAAGAAATAAATAAAAAAAATCGAGTTGATGACGTAAGAATAGAAACATAAAAATTAATCCGATGGAAAACCGATAATTTTCTTTTTTACTATTAAAAAAAAATAATAATGATGATGATGATGATGCGTTAATGCCTTTCAAATTTTTTTTATTGTTGTTTTGTTTATGGTATAATTACTAAGGTTTTTTTTTTTTTTTGATAAGGGTTTTATTGATAACAATCAAAAGTTTAAAAGTTCATCGTTCGGGTCATTGATAGATAATGTACTGATTGATAATGGATTCGTAACGGAATTTTTAATTATTATTATCATTATTATTACCTTGTTTGATCCACGACGCTCGGTTGCATCCATGATCGAGCTGCCGCCAATTGAGAACTCGATAAAGGTTCTTCTTTAAGGCTAGTTACGGGTCCTCGTGGTTGATGATGATGGTGATGGTGATGAAGTCCCGCGGCGGCCGCATCTTGGTGATGGTGCAATCCGAACATGAGTCCCCCTGGCCCCATGGCGCGACCAGGCCCTGCCCCGACGCCTGGCGGCGGGTAGAGCTTTCGGCCCCAGACCACAGGATCGAGGTCTACGGGGGCAAAGGCCGCCGGCCACGGGGATGCCGTCGTATAGCCGCGGTCCACTAGCGCACCCTCCCCGTCGGAACGCGTTTTGACAAATTCGGATACCACCGACTCTAAACAATCTATCGCGACTTGATGCGCGAGTTTTCGGCTTTGGTCGAAATTGTTTTTTTGAAATATTAGTTCTCCCAGTTTGTTAATTTTTTTTTTCTATTTATTTATATTATGAAAAATTATCGAAATTTTTCTATTTTTTTTTTTTTTACAATCAATATACGAACCTTTCAAGTACAATCATTTGAGTTTTCACAAAGACAAGGCAGAAAAATGATAATAATATTTTTTTTTTATACTTCACCTGAATTTTTCCCTATTATTTTCTTTTTCACTTATAATTTTAAAATTTTTTTATTATCACACTATATCACTTTTTAAATTGTTTTTTTTTTTATTTATTTAAATGTCAATTTAAAAAAAAAAAAAAAAAACAAAAAATAAAAAAAAAAAAAAAAAAAATATAAAATTTCCGGGAAAACTTGAACTCGAGCGAACGCCGACAAACGCGGGACTAAAGCTTAACCAAAAGCGCGAAAGAAAAACCGGAAAAGTATGCTGAGCCCTCTCTAGTGTTCTACACATTTACTTATTTCCACGTTTTTCATTCTATAAGTTCGCAAAACAAATTTTTAAATTACCCGCGAAAATTCGATAAATTTTTTTTTTTTTCCCCCGATTTTAAAAAACCGTATTTTTTTAATTTTTCGTTTCCCGATTTACAAAAAAAAAATAATAAAATAAAAATAAAAAATTAAATTAAATTAAACTTTTCGAAAAAATTACTATTATTATTATTATTATTATTATTAATCGAAAAAATTACGATTTCTATAAAAATAAAAGTAAAAAACTTTGATAAGAAGTTGCGTTGTTGATATAAATGAATTTCTCATTCGGGAATAAGTATAACCTCGACGGAGACCCCAAAGGTTTGGTATCAAAGGGCCCAAAAAAAAATACTCCCGAGTCGATATATAGTTGTGAGATCAACTATATGAAATCAGTATTGTTGCGACAACATCTACGGTGCCCGACAATTTGACGGTCAGTTCGAACGCACAACGAATACGGGGACTCAAAGAAAAACCTAACAAATTTTTTCATTTTAAAAAACTTTTTCACGCGTAAGTTAAACGTGAGCGAAATTATTCAATTCAATTATATTTCCGACGGGAGAAAATTTCAATCGAGTGTGAGACGTAATGCAAAACAAATCTATGTGAAATACGTTTTGCATTGTAACATATGCCGTTCCTGCACACAATGTAAACAAATACAAAAATGTTATCGTTAGATGAACGTTAACACCATATGTTTTGCGTGAGCGTAATGTTAATTTAAAATAAAATCATCCCTCGATATTTTGTATATATGTAACGTTAGCAAGAGCGAGGAGAAAATCGTTTAGAGAGAGATGAAAATATTTAAAACAAACGTGATAGAAAAAGAAAGAAAAATATTGTTTTTTTTTTCAAAATGTCAAATATGAAAAATAAAGGTGGCTTATAATCAAATCAAAATATATATTAATAAAAAAAAAAAAATTCCCCTGCATTTTTTTCATAAGGATTTTATTACGAATAATTAATTTAATTATTATCGATTTTAATTTTTTTATTAATATTTAATTTATTTTTGTGACTTTTTTTTTTACCTTAAAAACCGCCATTTTTTCGAAAAAAATAATAATAATGACTCGAAGTAAAAGAATTTAATTATTACACGAAAAAAAAATAAAAAAGACGTTGGATAATTCGTAGGTAGGCCTCATGTTTTTTTTTTTTTTTTTTTTTACGTACGTAAATATAAATACATAAATTTATTGATTTAAAAAAAATATTATTAATTAATAATAAATAAATAAAATATCGATAGTCATTAATGACCCATATTCGTAAATTTAAAAAAAAAAAAAAAATTTCCCATGAGTGTTACACCCTTGTGAATGTAGCATCCCATGTGAAATGGTTTTTGAATTTAAACAATATTTTTAAACCACCCCTATTGAAATTTTATTAGCCAATGAGATTAACTTGAAATTTTTTAAACGACCAATAAAAATTTAGAATTTTTCCATTTCTTCCCCTAATTTCTTTTTTTTTTTTTTTTAAAATACACACACACACACACTCACGCGAAAACATGTGTACTCAATATTGATAGAAAATAATAAATTATTATTATTATTATTTATTTATTTAAAAAATTGTATTCATTAATAAAAGTTTACTAAAAAAAAATAAGAGACGATAATTAAATTGTAATTTTAATTTAAATTAAATCGAATTAAACAAAAAAAAAAAAAATAATAAAATAATTTAATTAAAATTTCTGTTTTTATTCTATGAAAAATTAAAAAAAATTTTTTTTTTTTTTTACGTGATCTTATTAATTAATAATATTTAACTATTGATTTTTCAAAATTAAAAAATAATAATAATACGTTAATAATTAATTAATTAATAACCGAATAAATAAATTTAAAAGAGTTAGATATGTGTTTATCATTCTGATAACTATATGTTTACTTAAAAATAAAAAAAATTATTATTCTTATTATTATTATTAATTTAATACATAGAAAAGGGTGAGGGGGTGAATACTTGAGACGTAATTATTATTATTATTATTATTAATTTTTTTTGCGAATAACTTTCCATAACATAAATTTTTTTTGAAAAAATTTTTTATCATTTTATATATATAAATTAAATTATAATTTTTTTATTGATAAGGTTATCATTAAATTTTTTGCTGTTGCTATTGCTGTTGTTCACAAGTTGGGAATATAAAGTTTTTATTTTTTATTTTCCTAATGAAAAATGTAGGGGAAATGTGGGAGTTAAATTTATTTGGGAGACAAATCTACAGTGGCGGTCTCATGTGGCAAATGTTAGAGACAACCAGAAATCGGGATGCTCTCCCGTTGATAAGGTTCCCCGTTCGTTCCTTCGTACGTTCGTATAACGATTTCCGTCAAACGTAACTTCCGATAAATTTTTTTTACGTAAAAAATTTTTTGAAATTCTTTTCATTTTTTTATTATTATTATAATTTTACCGTTAAAGTTTTAAAATTTAATTATGAGAAAACAGGAAAAATTCAATAAATAATAATAATAATAATAATAATAATAATAATAATAATATTTTCGACGCATCCAACATTCAAAAGTTTTGTAAGAAACTTATTAGGGGGGGAAGAAAAAAAAAAATTTTTTTTGTTTATAATAAACAAAATAAAGTCCGCCATTATTTTATTTCGCACGTCGTTAAAAAAAAAAAAAATATAAGGTAACGAAATAATAATAATAATAATAATAATAATAATAATAATAATAATAATAATAATAATAATAATAATAATAATAATAATGTAAAAGAAAGAGTAAATTCAAAATAAATAAAAAAAATTGTGATGGATGAATTTTATTTGTTAAGCGAATGGGAGTTACCAAAGTCTCAACAGCATCCTGCACTTCGCTGCTACGGCCTGATTATGCCCAGACAATCAAATCCCGCGAGACATCATCGACAGCATTTTGAATCTAAGCATTTGGAACTCTTTTCTCTCTTTCTATCTCTTTCTCTCTCTCTCTCTCTTTTCTCGTGAGTTTTACTCTTTTCCATCGTTACTGATTTATCAATCAGAGAAAATTCGAATAATTACCGGTCGGACATTGATAAATGATTGAAAAATGATATAAATACGTTTTGACTTAATGATTTGAAAAACCTTTTTACTTATTCTTACGCGCGAAAGACGACAAATTTCCCTATTGGCTTTTCGTATAAAATCGAAGATATTATTATTATTATTATTATGTTTGTGTGAGACAAAGAAAAAATGAACGTACCTGAAAGTTTCGTAAACGAAAAGAATCTGAAGTAAACGAACAAGCACTTCCGGTTTAAATTAATTTTCCTTTTGAAATAGGGTCAGAGAGGTTTTGCCTGCCGTGTCGTAACAAAACGGTGCAGGCTTCAGCGATTAGCTGTACAACCCGGTCATCATACCCTCTTTGTCCTGAAAGGATCAAAAACAAGAAAATTTTACAATGTTCTTTATCATTTTTATAAGACGGATTAACCGCCGAAACGATAACAAATATTTCACGTTTTTTTTAATTATTTATTATCCGTTTGAAAATTTCATTACGAAGTTTAATAAAACGTTTAAAAATTTTTAAAAATCATTTCGTTACGATTTTTTTTTTCAATTTCCTATTTCGAAACTTTCAAACAATAAATAAATAATTATTATTGTTGTAAACAGCGCAACCTATTGGAATTTTTCTCAACTAATTTTTTTTTAAAATCCCACGTGTTTATTTGTTTTGTTTGTTTGTTTGTTTCTAAACAATCTGCTCCGCCTTATTCTTTGTACCACCCAATTCTTAATCGTTATTCTTCGTCCTTCTTACACCTATTTATTATTTTTTTAAAAAAAAAAAAATGAAAGAGAGAAAAAAACTTGTTTTTATTATAGAATGGAGGCAAAAAAAGAAATGTAAAAAATTAAACTCCACCTTAAAACTCAGCCTACCTGAATTTTTTTCTTTTTTTTTCAAAAAGGGACAAAGGTTTTAAGGTTTACGATGATGAATCGGTGTAAATGATTGGTTAAGAATAAAAATTATTATTATTTTTTTAAAAAAAAACAGCGTGGGAATAGAACAGATACTAACAAACGGTAGAATTTAAATAATTATGTTTAGAAACCACGTGGCCGATAAAGGGATCTGCTACTGTTATCGTCGTTTTTTTTTTAAAAAAGTTCATAAAATTTTTTCATCCATTTATATATGTAATTAAACAGATTTTCGGAGAGGAGGAGGAGGAGGAGGAAGGGGGGAGGGCAATAAAAAATTTTAAAATAAAACAAAATGCGGATAATAATTGTGTCATTGGAGGTCTAGAGTTGGGTTTTGGTTATGGGGGGACGGGAGGGAGATCGTTTGAAAATGTTTTATTTTGTTTCATTTCATTATTATTACTGCCACGAGATATCCCGTAAAAATTTTTACAAACAAAATTATGTGAAAGCATTCCCCCCTCCCCTCTTTTTTGATTGTTTGTTTGTTTGTTTGTTGCATTTTTTTGCATGTGTTTATTATTTAAATTGATGACCATCGTGTGCAATATAGTTAACTCTATTCGCAATTTTGGATAATTTACTGTTTTCACGATGTAAATTATTAGAAAGAGAGAGAAAAAAAAGAGGAAAATGGTTTACAGAGAGAGAGAGAGAGAGAGAGAGAGAGAGAGAGAGAAAATTTTATTGCTCGGCATCATCCGAAAAAAAAAAAAAAAAAAAAAAAAAAACAAATCATTCATTTTTTTTTTTTGTTTGTTTTCATTCCTGTTATTTTATCCAAGGGACTCACATATTCTTTCGCTTAACTGCATTAAACCTGTATATTTTCCTCCTCTTCCTTTAAATTAAAAATGTGACGTAAATGATGAAATTTTCATGTAACTTTAGAGCGCGGCCATGTTTTTTTTTTTTTGGCCATAATGTTTCGCATGAAAAGAAAAAAAGAAAACAAATCGTCCGTGATTAAAAATTTTGATTTTGATTTTTTTTTTATTTGAAAAGGGTTTAATTATCCGTGCAACGACTTTACTTATAAAATAATAATAATAATAATAATAATGAAAAGAAAACACCATACATTGATAAATTTACAAAAGGAAAAATGCGGTTCATTAAAATCATCCCTTTCTCTCTCGACACCTGTCTCTTACTACTACTACCCCTATCGAAAACATAAATCAAAATAAAATAAAGGTTTTTTAAATGAACAGCAGAAGCAGAAGAAACAACCCTTTAATTTCAAACTTTTGATTTTGATTTTTTTTCCTTTTTAAATTTGCAAAAAAGGAACTTTCAGAAGAAAAAGAAAAAAAATTTTGATGATAATTTAATTATTTAAATATCGGATATAATTAAATTTAAAAAATTTTTTACCCTTTTATTGTTCTATCGGGTCAAAATTTTTTTTTTCTTATTCCAATTAAAATAAGATTTAATTAATTACGGAAACGGAAACGAAAAGTTGGAAATTTTTTACGAGTAGAGGATTGCATTATATTTATGAAAAAAAATGGCGGCGATGATGGCAACGACATGTGCGTGCGGTTTTTAAGAGTAAAAAATTAAACATTTGCAATAGAAATAAAAAAAGAAGATACGAAATGAATGAAAATAACATATTGGAGAAGATTTCTATGTCCGACAAAGAAAGAAGATAAGTTTTGATTATATTTATTATTAAATCGCAATCCTTTGTAGCATCGCATAATACGAATTTGATGTAATGCGAATCAACGGTGCGAGACCGAAAAAAAAAGGGAACAATAATATAATGGTTTGGCAAACTTCACTTGGCACCAACAGCAGAATCATACAAACTTTCCCGAATTTTCCTCTTTCCTTTGAATGAATGAATGACCCTTCAATAGTTATCTCATTAATCTTAAATATAAAGTGTTGATTTTTCGAGTGCGCCACTTAATTCAGATTTCAAACAACTTTTCTTTCTTTTTTAGATATTTTTTAACCGATTATAAATTTTTACAAGATAGATAAGACAACAACCAAAAAAAAACCTTTTGTCGAATGGATAATCCCCACATAAAAAAAAAAAAACCGCTCTCGAATGGTTTT